CAGACGAGCGGCTCGTGTGGGCCAGCGCCTGCGGATGTGAGAGGGAGTGTGGGAGAATGTGATTGGAGCAGGGCGGGCTGGCGGCTGAGGGCGGGCTGCTCTGTGGCGGGTGAGGAGAGGGGGCGGGCCTGGCGGACAGCGGGCTGCTCCGGTCCGAGAGCGGTTTGGGTGAGGAGGAGCTGGGCGGGGGGTGCCTGGTGGAGGTTGCAGTTTGACCAGAGACCCCGGCCCTCTCTCTGGTCCTGGGGACGTATTTACCATCCCTGGAAAACAAAGATGGGGGAGATGAGGGGGTGAGAGAAAATCTTCAGTTGATTGGATGAAGGTCTCACTCTGCTGGTGAAGCTCGTACCTGACGGTGGAGGAGAATCCCGGACTCGCCCGCTCCTCCCTCTCTCGAACCACGGAGCTGTACTTATCCTCCTCGCTCCTGCCCTCGTCGTTCTCTAGAGAAACGCGCCGGCGGTACTGAAGGCTGCCCTCGATCTCGCTGGCCAGCCGAGCTGCTCGCGCTTCACGCTGCCGATAGACATCAGAGCTCCCCCTCTCCAAAGGCATGCTGGGAAGGGTCAAAAGCAAAGAGAGACAGTCAGGGCGGTCATGTTGGAACTTATATGACTGATGCATTAAATTTAATCTTGATTCTAATCAGCAGATTCCCTATAATGATTTGATTTTATTCAACTGAATCTTTAAAAGTCACAATAAACCAACATTACAGCAGCTTTGGTTTCTGTCATACAGAGACACTGGAAGTGTCCTTTAAATAAAGGATGAATACATAAAGAGCAGCTTCAGTGTGAACATTGGGAGTAGTGTTACTCACGTGTACATGGAGAGGCTGGAGTCGTACGTGGACTTGATGCCGTACGCCTCCTCGTTAAGTTTGAACATCTCGTTGGCGTCCCAGCCGTTTGACTGACAGGAAGAACGTGGACACAAATATCACTGCAGCAAAGTCTGAATACTGATCTTGAGCCTGATACAGATTTTTTTTTTTTAAGTTTGCACATTTATGGGTCATTTTTGGGTTCAGGCATAAAGTTTCTGACCCGAGAAAAACTCCCGTCTAAGAATAAACTCATCAGTGTCCTCAAGCGAGAAATGTGTCTGAAGTGCGTTTGTGTGTTTCCTCACTGCGTCCGACTCCAGCTCGAAGTTTTCTCCATTTCCACCTCCGTCCCACCTCTGCAGCACCTTCTCCCTGTGCTCCCCGTTCACCCGCGACGAGCCGATGGACGAGTCAGTGAACGCGTCTGTACACACAAACAAAAAATAAAATCAACATGCACAGACACACATTAAATGTTTGAGTATGAACATGGAGAAAGATTCCTCCTTCACTCCCTGAGCATCTGTTCTGAGTGAAGCTGATCTGGGATCAGTTCAAAACACTGAGAAGTTATTAACAACCAGAGTTTATCTCCAGTGTTCAGCAGGAAACTTTAAAACATGAAGAACTCTGAACAGTTTGGTGGTTTTGTTACAGCAGCTCTTCTGGGTCAGGAAGCAGAGGATCATGGGTAATATCCAGTAAGAGTCATTGACTCACTTTGTTTTTTCTACACATGAAAACCTCTTGATCCGACACAGAGTGAATCACAGTGTGGAGCTGCAGGGGGCGCTGTTGCTCGGTTAAAGTAATAGTGTTGTTCTAATGTGTTTACAGTAAACATTGTGTGTTGATACTGACGTTCTGTGAATTTCAAGTTTAACGTGAGTGTCAGAATTAAAAGGTCACAGGTCAGGAGTCTTTGTCTTATTTCACGCCCTCTGAGTCTGTTTACCTCTGACAGCGAAGTTCAGATCGACATCTCTGCAGGTCATGGTGACCAGGTCGGTCGGACTGAAGATCATCGTGTCGGTGATCTCCTCAATTTTTGGCGAAGAGGACAGACCTCCTCCTCCTCCTCCCTCCTCACCTCCCCCACCTCCATCCCCGTCACTGCATTTATGAACAGCGTCCACAGCCAGCTCACACTGTCCGACAAAGGAGGACACACACGCAGATAAATCAGAATGAAGCTCTCACGGTCTAGGTGAGAGGAAGTGCCGTATGTTTTACCTGTGAGCTCAAAGTCTTGAAGATTCCCTCGTACACAGCCCCGTTTTTCACTCTCACGTCGCAGGTGGAGCCCTGAGACCAGCAGAGAGGAAAACTTTAGAACTCAACATCTACCGGGACCTGACTGAGGCCGACAGAGGAGCGGATTACTCACCACGACGGCTGTGAGGAAGTGAAGCATGCGGGCGTTGTTGTAAACACCTTCAAACACCTGAACACAGAAGTCAGCGTTAACCACACGGAGAACTGACGTGTGGAGAAGTCAGGACGTGTGACTGATACTGACGTTGACATGATTACATGTTTTAAACAGTGGCACTGATTTCCCAAAGAATAACTAAAGTCATTAGAGAACTGGTGAGTGAGTGTGATTTGATGCAGCTTGATTGAATTTGAGAAACTGTTGGTGCAGCTTTCCCGACGTTCTAGTTTAGGTCAGGATGTTTGAATGAAGATCAGCTGTTCATTATTCTCCCTGACAACAACTACAACAACAGAAGAAACACTGTCGGGTCAGAATCGTCCTGACAGACACGACTCTGGGACAAAGAACTGATCAGCTGCTCAGAACAAACAGAGTTTAACAGCAGCTCTACTCACCAGGCTGCTGCTGACGGGAGGAGACTGAGTCTGTGCTGGAGGTTTCATTGTGTTTCTCGTCCTGCAGAAGGTGAACACATGATAATAATAAGAATGATAGTA